TTTCTGTTTCCAAATTCAAACGGATGTATCTTCGCCAATAATTGTCAGAAGTTAGAATTTCTTTCAACATTATGAAGCCCTTTTTATATATTTTGACTCTGCATCAAAAGCTGAAAATATGTAGTCTCGAAGTCATTTCGAGAAATTGACGTTTTAAGTTTCTGTTTCCAAATTCAAACGGATGTATCTTCGCCAATAATTGTCAGAAGTTAGAATTTCTTTCAACATTATGAAGCCCTTTTTATATATTTTGATTCTGCATCAAAAGCTGAAAATATGTAGTCTCGAAGTCATTTCGAGAAATTGACGTTTTAAGTTTCTGTTTCCAAATTCAAACGGATGTATCTTCGCCAATAATTGTCAGAAGTTAGAATTTCTTTCAACATTATGAAGCCCTTTTTATATATTTTGACTCTGCATCAAAAGCTGAAAATATGTAGTCTCGAAGTCATTTCGAGAAATTGACGTTTTAAGTTTCTGTTTCCAAATTCAAACGGATGTATCTTCGCCAATAATTGTCAGAAGTTAGAATTTCTTTCAACATTATGAAGCCCTTTTTATATATTTTGACTCTGCATCAAAAGCTGAAAATATGTAGTCTCGAAGTCATTTCGAGAAATTGACGTTTTAAGTTTCTGTTTCCAAATTCAAACGGATGTATCTTCGCCAATAATTGTCAGAAGTTAGAATTTCTTTCAACATTATGAAGCCCTTTTTATATATTTTGACTCTGCATCAAAAGCTGAAAATATGTAGTCTCGAAGTCATTTCGAGAAATTGACGTTTTAAGTTTCTGTTTCCAAATTCAAACGGATGTATCTTCGCCAATAATTGTCAGAAGTTAGAATTTCTTTCAACATTATGAAGCCCTTTTTATATATTTTGACTCTGCATCAAAAGCTGAAAATATGTAGTCTCGAAGTCATTTCGAGAAATTGACGTTTTAAGTTTCTGTTTCCAAATTCAAACGGATGTATCTTCGCCAATAATTGTCAGAAGTTAGAATTTCTTTCAACATTATGAAGCCCTTTTTATATATTTTGACTCTGCATCAAAAGCTGAAAATATGTAGTCTCGAAGTCATTTCGAGAAATTGACGTTTTAAGTTTCTGTTTCCAAATTCAAACGGATGTATCTTCGCCAATAATTGTCAGAAGTTAGAATTTCTTTCAACATTATGAAGCCCTTTTTATATATTTTGACTCTGCATCAAAAGCTGAAAATATGTAGTCTCGAAGTCATTTCGAGAAATTGACGTTTTAAGTTTCTGTTTCCAAATTCAAACGGATGTATCTTCGCCAATAATTGTCAGAAGTTAGAATTTCTTTCAACATTATGAAGCCCTTTTTATATATTTTGACTCTGCATCAAAAGCTGAAAATATGTAGTCTCGAAGTCATTTCGAGAAATTGACGTTTTAAGTTTCTGTTTCCAAATTCAAACGGATGTATCTTCGCCAATAATTGTCAGAAGTTAGAATTTCTTTCAACATTATGAAGCCCTTTTTATATATTTTGACTCTGCATCAAAAGCTGAAAATATGTAGTCTCGAAGTCATTTCGAGAAATTGACGTTTTAAGTTTCTGTTTCCAAATTCAAACGGATGTATCTTCGCCAATAATTGTCAGAAGTTAGAATTTCTTTCAACATTATGAAGCCCTTTTTATATATTTTGATTCTGCATCAAAAGCTGAAAATATTTAGTCTCGAAGTCATTTCGAGAAATTGACGTTTTAAGTTTCTGTTTCCAAATTCAAACGGATGTATCTTCGCCAATAATTGTCAGAAGTTAGAATTTCTTTCAACATTATGAAGCCCTTTTTATATATTTTGACTCTGCATCAAAAGCTGAAAATATGTAGTCTCGAAGTCATTTCGAGAAATTGACGTTTTAAGTTTCTGTTTCCAAATTCAAACGGATGTATCTTCGCCAATAATTGTCAGAAGTTAGAATTTCTTTCAACATTATGAAGCCCTTTTTATATATTTTGATTCTGCATCAAAAGCTGAAAATATGTAGTCTCGAAGTCATTTCGAGAAATTGACGTTTTAAGTTTCTGTTTCCAAATTCAAACGGATGTATCTTCGCCAATAATTGTCAGAAGTTAGAATTTCTTTCAACATTATGAAGCCCTTTTTATATATTTTGACCCTGCATCAAAAGCTGAAAATATGTAGTCTCGAAGTCATTTCGAGAAATTGACGTTTTAAGTTTCTGTTTCCAAATTCAAACGGATGTATCTTCGCCAATAATTGTCAGAAGTTAGAATTTCTTTCAACATTATGAAGCCCTTTTTATATATTTTGATTCTGCATCAAAAGCTGAAAATATGTAGTCTAAGAATTTCTTTCAACATTATGAAGCCCTTTTTATATATTTTGACCCTGCATCAAAAGCTGAAAATATGTAGTCTCGAAGTCATTTCGAGAAATTGACGTTTTAAGTTTCTGTTTCCAAATTCAAACGGATGTATCTTCGCCAATAATTGTCAGAAGTTAGAATTTCTTTCAACATTATGAAGCCCTTTTTATATATTTTGACTCTGCATCAAAAGCTGAAAATATGTAGTCTCGAAGTCATTTCGAGAAATTGACGTTTTAAGTTTCTGTTTCCAAATTCAAACGGATGTATCTTCGCCAATAATTGTCAGAAGTTAGAATTTCTTTCAACATTATGAAGCCCTTTTTATATATTTTGACTCTGCATCAAAAGCTGAAAATATGTAGTCTCGAAGTCATTTCGAGAAATTGACGTTTTAAGTTTCTGTTTCCAAATTCAAACGGATGTATCTTCGCCAATAATTGTCAGAAGTTAGAATTTCTTTCAACATTATGAAGCCCTTTTTATATATTTTGACTCTGCATCAAAAGCTGAAAATATGTAGTCTCGAAGTCATTTCGAGAAATTGACGTTTTAAGTTTCTGTTTCCAAATTCAAACGGATGTATCTTCGCCAATAATTGTCAGAAGTTAGAATTTCTTTCAACATTATGAAGCCCTTTTTATATATTTTGATTCTGCATCAAAAGCTGAAAATATGTAGTCTCGAAGTCATTTCGAGAAATTGACGTTTTAAGTTTCTGTTTCCAAATTCAAACGGATGTATCTTCGCCAATAATTGTCAGAAGTTAGAATTTCTTTCAACATTATGAAGCCCTTTTTATATATTTTGACTCTGCATCAAAAGCTGAAAATATGTAGTCGCGAAGTCATTTCGAGAAATTGACGTTTTAAGTTTCTGTTTCCAAATTCAAACGGATGTATCTTCGCCAATAATTGTCAGAAGTTAGAATTTCTTTCAACATTATGAAGCCCTTTTTATATATTTTGACTCTGCATCAAAAGCTGAAAATATGTAGTCTCGAAGTCATTTCGAGAAATTGACGTTTTAAGTTTCTGTTTCCAAATTCAAACCCTGGATGTATCTTCGCCAATAATTGTCAGAAGTTAGAATTTCTTTCAACATTATGAAGCCCTTTTTACATATTTTGACCCTGCATCAAAAGCTGAAAATATGTAGTCTCGAAGTCATTTCGAGAAATTGACGTTTTAAGTTTCTGTTTCCAAATTCAAACGGATGTATCTTCGCCAATAATTGTCAGAAGTTAGAATTTCTTTCAACATTATGAAGCCCTTTTTATATATTTTGACTCTGCATCATCAGAAGTTAGAATTTCTTTCAACATTATGAAGCCCTTTTTACATATTTTGACCCTGCATCAAAAGCTGAAAATATGTAGTCTCGAAGTCATTTCGAGAAATTGACGTTTTAAGTTTCTGTTTCCAAATTCAAACGGATGTATCTTCGCCAATAATTGTCAGAAGTTAGAATTTCTTTCAACATTATGAAGCCCTTTTTATATATTTTGACTATGCATCAAAAGCTGAAAATATGTAGTCTCGAAGTCATTTCGAGAAATTGACGTTTTAAGTTTCTGTTTCCAAATTCAAACGGATGTATCTTCGCCAATAATTGTCAGAAGTTAGAATTTCTTTCAACATTATGAAGCCCTTTTTATATATTTTGACTCTGCATCAAAAGAGTGGATTGTTGTAGATAATTGTCAGAAGTTAGAATTTCTTTCAACATTATGAAGCCCTTTTTATATATTTTGACCCTGCATCAAAAGCTGAAAATATGTAGTCTCGAAGTCATTTCGAGAAATTGACGTTTTAAGTTTCTGTTTCCAAATTCAAACGGATGTATCTTCGCCAATAATTGTCAGAAGTTAGAATTTCTTTCAACATTATGAAGCCCTTTTTATATATTTTGATTCTGCATCAAAATCTGAAAATATGTAGTCTCGAAGTCATTTCGAGAAATTGACGTTTTAAGTTTCTGTTTCCAAATTCAAACGGATGTATCTTCGCCAATAATTGTCAGAAGTTAGAATTTCTTTCAACATTATGAAGCCCTTTTTATATATTTTGACTCTGCATCAAAAGCTGAAAATATGTTGTCTCGAAGTCATTTCGAGAAATTGACGTTTTAAGTTTCTGTTTTCAAATTCAAACGGGATGTATCTTTTCCTTAGGATTTTTACCTAAATGAATTGTTATTCAACAATTAACTTTCTGTAATCAATATTTTCAATTAATAATTTTATTAATATCAACATTAATCACATTATTTTTCTATTTACGAATTTGTTATTCAGCTTTTATACTTAATTATTCAGAAAATAATTGAGCTATAAATTCTCACATTAACAATTTTAATATAAATTTATATACAATTATAACTTTTTTATCTATTTTTGGTTTGTTTTTAATTTCATTATTTTATTTTATATTTTAATTAAGGCTTTAAGTTAAATAAACTAATAGCCTTCAAAGCTATAAATATAGATAATTCTTTAAGCCTTAGTAATTTTTACTCCTTTAAAATTGCAGTTTAATATCATTGTTGACTATAAGACCTTTGTGTAAATGATTAAGAAGAAAATTTCTTATAAATAGATTTACAATCTATCGCCTAAACTTCAGCCACTTAATCGCGACAATGATTATTTTCAACAAATCATAAAGATATTGGAACTTTATATTTTATTTTTGGTGCATGAGCCGGAATAGTAGGAACATCTTTAAGAATTTTAATTCGAGCTGAATTAGGACATCCAGGAGCTTTGATCGGAGATGACCAAATTTATAATGTTATTGTTACTGCTCATGCTTTTGTTATGATTTTTTTTATAGTTATACCAATTATAATTGGAGGATTTGGAAATTGATTAGTTCCTTTAATACTAGGAGCTCCTGATATAGCATTCCCTCGAATAAATAATATAAGTTTTTGATTACTTCCTCCTGCTCTAACACTTTTATTAGTAAGAAGTATAGTAGAAAATGGAGCTGGAACAGGTTGAACTGTTTACCCTCCTTTATCTTCAGGAATTGCTCACGGCGGTGCTTCTGTTGATTTAGCTATTTTCTCTTTACATTTAGCCGGAATTTCATCAATTTTAGGAGCTGTAAATTTTATTACAACAGTAATTAATATACGATCTTCAGGAATTACTTTAGATCGAATACCATTATTTGTCTGATCAGTAGCAATTACAGCATTATTATTACTTTTATCTCTACCAGTGTTAGCTGGAGCAATTACAATACTATTAACAGATCGAAATTTAAATACTTCATTTTTTGACCCAGCAGGAGGAGGGGATCCAATTCTATACCAACACTTATTTTGATTTTTTGGACACCCAGAAGTTTATATTTTAATTTTACCCGGGTTTGGAATAATTTCTCATATTATTAGCCAAGAATCAGGTAAAAAGGAAACTTTCGGTTCTTTAGGAATAATTTACGCTATATTAGCAATTGGTTTATTAGGATTTATTGTCTGAGCCCACCATATATTCACAGTTGGAATAGATGTTGATACTCGGGCTTATTTTACATCTGCAACTATAATTATTGCAGTTCCTACAGGAATTAAAATTTTTAGATGACTTGCTACTTTACATGGAACTCAACTTTCTTATTCCCCCGCAATTTTATGAGCTTTAGGGTTTGTATTTTTATTCACAGTCGGAGGTTTAACAGGAGTTGTTTTAGCTAATTCATCTGTTGATATTATTTTACATGACACATATTATGTTGTCGCTCACTTTCATTATGTACTTTCTATAGGAGCCGTATTTGCTATTATAGCAGGATTTGTTCATTGATATCCATTATTTACAGGATTAACTTTAAATAATAAATGGTTAAAAAGTCAATTTATTATTATATTTATTGGAGTAAATTTAACATTTTTCCCACAACATTTTTTAGGGTTAGCCGGTATACCTCGACGTTATTCTGATTACCCAGACGCTTACACTACATGAAATGTAATTTCCACAATTGGTTCAACAATTTCTTTATTAGGAATTTTATTCTTTTTTTATATTATTTGAGAAAGTTTAGTATCCCAACGTCAAGTAATTTATCCTATACAATTAAATTCTTCTATTGAATGATACCAAAATACCCCACCTGCTGAACATAGATATTCTGAATTACCTTTATTAACTAATTAATTTCTGATATGGCAGATTAGTGCAACGGATTTAAGCTCCGTATATAAAGTATTTTACTTTTATCAGAAATTTAATGTCAACATGAGCTAACCTAGGTCTCCAAGATAGAGCTTCACCTTTAATAGAACAACTTATTTTTTTCCACGATCATGCTTTATTAATTTTAGTAATAATTACTGTTTTAGTAGGTTATTTAATATTTATATTATTTTTTAATAGTTATATTAATCGATTTCTTCTTCATGGGCAATTAATTGAAATAATCTGAACAATTTTACCTGCAATTATTTTATTATTTATTGCACTTCCTTCCTTACGTCTTTTATATCTTTTAGATGAAATTAATGAACCATCTGTAACTTTAAAAAGAATTGGACACCAGTGATACTGAAGTTATGAATATTCAGATTTTAATAATGTTGAATTTGATTCATATATAATTCCCACAAATGAATTAGCAAATGATGGATTTCGACTTTTAGATGTTGATAACCGAATTATTTTACCGATAAATTCTCAAATTCGAATTTTAGTAACAGCAGCTGACGTAATTCATTCATGAACAATTCCTGCTTTAGGTGTAAAAGTTGATGGAACTCCTGGTCGATTAAATCAAACTAATTTTTTTATCAACCGACCAGGTTTATTTTATGGACAATGTTCAGAAATTTGTGGAGCTAATCATAGTTTTATACCTATTGTAATTGAAAGTGTTCCTGTAAATTATTTTATTAAATGAATTTCTAATAGTGTAAATTCTTCATTAGATGACTGAAAGCAAGTACTGGTCTCTTAAACCATTTTATAGTAAATTAGCGTTTACTTCTAATGAAAAAATTAGTTAAATTATAACATTAGTATGTCAAACTAAAATTATTAAATTATTAATATTTTTTAATTCCACAAATAGCCCCAATTAGATGATTACTTTTATTTTTTTTATTTTCGATGATTTTTATTTTATTCTGTTCAATTAATTATTATGCTTATATACCTTCTTCACCTAAATCAAATGAATTAAAAAGTATAAATTTAAATTCAATAAATTGAAAATGATAACAAATTTATTTTCTGTATTTGATCCATCAGCAATTTTTGGTCTTTCTTTAAATTGATTAAGAACTTTTTTAGGACTTTTAATAATTCCTTCAATTTATTGATTAATACCATCACGTTATAATATCTTTTGAAATACTATTCTTTCAACACTTCATAAAGAATTTAAAACTCTTTTAGGACCTTCAGGTCATAATGGGTCTACATTTATTTTTATTTCATTATTTTCTTTAATTTTATTTAATAATTTTATGGGTTTATTTCCTTACATTTTTACAAGAACAAGACATTTAACTTTAACCTTAACATTAGCTTTACCTTTATGACTTTCATTTATATTATATGGATGAATTAATCACACACAACATATATTTGCTCACTTAGTTCCTCAAGGAACTCCTGCAATCCTTATACCTTTTATAGTATGCATTGAATCTATTAGAAATGTAATTCGACCTGGAACTTTAGCTGTTCGGTTAACTGCTAATATAATTGCAGGACATCTGTTATTGACTTTATTAGGAAATACGGGGCCTTCAATATCTTATATATTAGTTACATTTTTACTAATTGGACAAATTGCTTTGTTAGTTCTTGAATCTGCTGTTGCTATAATTCAATCTTATGTTTTTGCAGTTTTAAGAACTTTATACTCTAGAGAAGTTAACTAAAACTTATAAATTAATGTCTTCACATGCTAACCACCCCTTTCATTTAGTTGATTATAGCCCTTGACCTTTAACAGGTGCAATTGGAGCTATAACAACTGTTTCAGGTATAATTAAATGATTTCATCAATATGATGTCTCTTTATTTTTTTTAGGAAATATTATTACAATTTTAACTGTTTATCAGTGATGACGGGATGTGTCTCGAGAAGGTACATATCAAGGATTACATACTTACGCAGTAACAATTGGATTACGATGAGGAATAATTTTATTTATTGTTTCAGAAATTTTATTTTTTGTAAGATTTTTTTGAGCTTTTTTTCATAGAAGTTTATCCCCAGCAATTGAATTAGGGGCTTCATGACCGCCTATAGGAATTATTTCTTTTAACCCATTTCAAATTCCTTTATTAAATACTGCAATTTTATTGGCTTCAGGGGTTACTGTAACATGAGCTCATCATAGTTTAATAGAAGGAAATCATTCACAAACAACACAAGGGTTATTTTTTACTGTACTTTTAGGAGTTTACTTTACTATTCTTCAAGCTTATGAATATATTGAAGCTCCTTTTACAATTGCAGACTCAGTTTATGGATCTACTTTTTTTATAGCAACTGGATTCCATGGAATTCATGTTTTAATTGGAACAACTTTTTTATTAGTTTGTTTATTACGACATTTAAATAATCATTTTTCTAAAAATCACCACTTTGGATTTGAAGCAGCAGCTTGATATTGACACTTTGTCGATGTAGTTTGATTATTTTTATATATTACTATTTACTGATGAGGTGGATAATTATTTAAAATCTATATAGTATAAAAGTATATTTGACTTCCAATCATAAGGTCTATTAATAATAGTATAGATAATTTTTTCAATTATCTTTATTGCCTCAATTATTATAATAATTTCTTTTATTGTTATAATTTTAGCTTCAATTTTGTCAAAAAAAACTTTAGTAGATCGAGAAAAAAGATCTCCATTTGAATGTGGTTTTGACCCAAAATCATCTTCTCGCCTTCCTTTTTCATTACGATTTTTTTTAATTACTATTATTTTTTTAATTTTTGATGTAGAAATTGCTTTAATTTTACCTATAATTATTATTTTTAAATTTTCAAATTTAATAATTTGATCAATTACTTCCATAATTTTTATTTTAATCTTATTAATTGGTCTTTACCATGAATGAAATCAAGGAATATTAAATTGATCTAATTAATAGGGTTGTAGTTAATTATAACATTTGATTTGCATTCAAAAAGTATTGATTTTTCAATCTACCTTAAATTTATTGAATATGAAGCGATTAATTGCAATTAGTTTCGACCTAATTTTAGGTAAATTTACCCTTATTCTTTAATTGAAACCAAAATAGAGGTCTATCACTGTTAATGATAAAATTGAGTTCATACTCCAATTAAGGAAGTATGGTGATCAAGTAAAAGCTGCTAACTTTTTTCTTTTAATGGTTAAATTCCATTTATACTTCTATTTATATAGTTTAAAATAAAACTTTACATTTTCATTGTAAAAATAAAATAATTATTTTTATAAATTACTAATTTTAATTCACTAATATTCAAAGATTAATTAATCTCCATAACATCTTCAGTGTCATACTCTAAATATAAGCTATTTGAATATAAAAATAATAAAAAATTAAATAAAATTAAAATTCAAAATACAAATAATAATAAATAAATTTTTAAATTATTATTATGTATTAAAAATAAAGTTTGTGAATAAGTTATTAATTTATTATATAAATGCTGACCCCCAAAATATTCAGATCAACCTTGATCAAATCTTTTTCTCACAATCTGCCCTAAATTTAAAGGATAGAAAATAATTCCATATGTTCTTATAAAAGGTATAAATCATATAGATCCTAAAAAACTTGTTGTATTATACAACATTAATGATTTATTTAAAGTGTATAACTTTATTAAAGAAATTACATAACCAAATAAACCTCCAGAAATACAAACAAATAAAGTTAATAATTTTATATATAAAGGTAAACAGATTATATAAGGAATTGGAAAAATTAATCAATTTAGTGTTCTTCCCCCAATAATACTTATAATTAATAAACCTATTATACCTCGTAACATAATTCAACCTTCATCATTTAATATATTTAAACTTCTACAATTTAAATCTCCAGTTATTGTATAATATACTAAACGAAAAGAATAACAAACTGTTAAACCTGTTGAAAAAAAATATAAAAAAAAAGAAAATATATTAACATTTCTAATTATAACAACTTCTAAAATTATATCCTTTGAATAAAATCCGGCTAAAAATGGTATCCCACATAAAGCTAAATTAGACACATTAAAACAAGCAGAAGTTAAAGGTATATGAATTCTTAAACCCCCTATTAACCGAATATCTTGAGAATTATTTATATTATGAATAATTGCTCCTGCGCATATAAATAGTAAAGCTTTAAATAAAGCATGTGTTAACAAATGAAATATAGCTAATTTATAAAATCCTATAGATAAAATTCTTATTATTAACCCTAGTTGTCTTAAAGTAGATAAAGCAATAATTTTTTTTAAATCAAATTCAAAATTAGCTCCTAATCCAGCTATAAATATAGTTAACCCTGACAATAATAATAATAACTGACCAAGTCATGAATTTTCTAAAAGAATATTAAATCGAATTAATAAATAAACCCCAGCTGTTACTAATGTAGAAGAATGCACTAAAGCAGAAACCGGAGTTGGAGCTGCTATAGCAGCTGGTAATCATGAAGAAAAAGGAATTTGTGCTCTTTTAGTTATAGCAGCTAATATGACTAAAGAACCAATAATTATTATTTCAAATTCATTTTGTATAACTTCTAAATAAAAAATATAATTTCATCTCCCGTAATTTAATATTCAAGCAATTGCTAATAATAATGCAACATCCCCAATTCGATTAGATAAAGCTGTTAATATACCTGCATTATAAGATTTCACGTTTTGAAAATAAATCACTAAACAATATGATACTAATCCTAAACCATCTCACCCTAATAAAATTCTAATTATATTAGGTCTAATAATTAATAATATTATAGATAAAACAAATATAAGAACTAATATAATAAAACGATTAATATTTACGTCACTTCTTATATATTCTTTTCTGTAATAAATTACTAAAGAAGAAATTATTAAAACAAAAGATATAAATAATAATCTTATTCAATCAAATAAAAATGTCATAACAATTGATATTGAATTTAATGATACTACTTCTCATTCAATAAAATAAACTATATTATTTAATATAAAATTTAATCTTAATACAAAACATGTTATTCTAATAAAAATTAAATTTAAAAATCTAATTCTACAAATTGATAAATATTTCACGATCTAAAATGAATTTATTCATATCACTAACACCACAAATTAGTATTTTTATTAAACTATTTAAATATAATCACAATAAACATATATCACTTTTTATAATTAATAAATTTAAAGGTAATCAATGTAATATTATTAATAAATATTCCCGAATCTTCCCTCCTCTAAAAGAGTAAACACCGGAAAAAATTTTTCCATGTTGACTAAATGAATAAAGATATAAAGTGTAAGCTGCTCTAAAAAACGATAAAAGTGATAATATAATTATAGATACTCATGATCAAGAAACAATTCTATTTAATAAAGAAATTTCCCCTAATAAATTTAAAGTTGGGGGAGCAGCTATATTAGCAGAACTTAATAAAAATCACCATAGAGCTATAGCTGGTATAAAATTTAATATCCCCTTATTAATTAACAAACTTCGTCTTCCTAAACGTTCATATGAAACATTTGCTAAACAAAATAAACCAGAAGAACAAAGACCATGAGCAATTATAAGTCTATAAGAACCGCATAAACCTCAATAAGATATTGTTAATAGCCCAGCTAAAACAATTCCTATATGAGCAACAGAAGAATAAGCAATTAATGCTTTTAAATCAGTTTGTCGTAAACAAATTAATCTAACTAAAACACCTCCAACTAATCTAATTCTAATTCAAACAAAACCAAATTTTAAATTTATCAATTGTAACAAAGAAACAACTCGCAATATTCCATATCCCCCTAATTTTAGTATAATTCCAGCTAAAATTATTGAACCTGATACAGGAGCTTCTACATGAGCTTTTGGCAATCATAAATGAACTAAAAATATTGGTATTTTTACTAAAAAAGCACATATTATACAAAAATATAATAAATCATAATTAAATATAAAATTATTTATTAAGTAAAAATTCATTGTCCCCATTTTATTTATTAAATAAAAAATTCCAATTAATATAGGTAAAGAAACTAATAATGTATAAAATAATAAATAAATACCGGCTTGTAAACGTTCAGGTTGATAACCTCATCCTAAAATCAAAAATAATGTAGGAATTAATCTTCTTTCAAAAAATAAATAAAATATAAATAATCTTATTCTTCTAAATGTTAAAACAAGTAATAATAATAAAATTACAATATTTAATAAAAATAAATTTCTATAATTATTATATTTATTAACTCTTTCACTTGCCAATAATATCAATGAACAAATTCATAAAGATAATAAAATTAAACCATAAGATAATAAATCACACCCCAAATAATAAGAAATCTCAGAAAAATAATTAGAAAAATTATTTATTAACAAAAAAATAAAACTTATAAAAAATAATAAAATTTGTACCATTCAATATATATTATTAATAAAACAAATTGGAGATAAAAATAATAAAAAAAACACTAATTTTAACATTATATAATTCTAAAAGATTGAAAATAATCATTTCCATGTGTTCGAATTATTGATACTAAAATTGATAAACCTAATGCTCCTTCACAAACTCTAAATGTTAAAAATATTATTCTAAAATAATTTTCAAAATTTAATATTCTTAAATAAATAAATAATAAAAAAAATAAAATTAAAACAATAAATTCTAAACTTAATAATATTGAAAGTAAATGTTTTCGATTAGAAACAAAACAAAATAAACCTATAATAAATAAAATTATAGGGAGACTTCAATACAAAATTATAATCATTAGTTTTAATAGTTTAACAAAAACATTGGTCTTGTAAATCAAAAATAAAATATTATTTTTTAAAACTTCAAGAGAAAAGAATTTCTTTTTCATTAATCCCCAAAATTAATATTTTAAATAAACTACCTCTTGTTATTCTCCAATTAATTCTTTATTCAATAATTTTTGTAACTTCAATTATCTTTATTAATATAATTCACCCATTGGCTATAGGATTAACTTTATTAATCCAGACTATTTTAATCTGTTTAATTTCAGGATTAATAACAAAAACATTCTGATTTTCTTATATTTTATTTTTAATTTTTTTAGGGGGAATACTTGTTTTATTTATTTATGTAACATCACTAGCTTCAAATGAAATATTTAATTTATCAATTAAATTAACATTAATTTCTTCAGTTATAATTTTTTTATTTATATTAATCTCGTTTATTATTGATAAAAATTCAACTACATTTTTTCTTATAAATAACGAAATAGAAAGAATTCAAAAATTATATTCTTATATTTTAGAAAATTCTTTATCTTTAAATAAATTATATAATTTTCCAACAAATTTTTTAACAATTTTACTAATAAATTATTTATTAATTACATTAATTGTCGTTGTTAAAATTACTAAAATATTTAAAGGACCTCTTCGAATTATAAATTAATGAATAAACCATTACGATCTTCACATCCCTTATTTAAAATTGCTAATAATGCTTTAGTAGATTTACCAGCTCCAATTAATATTTCAAGATGATGAAATTTTGGATCTCTTTTAGGACTTTGTTTAATTATTCAAATCTTAACGGGATTATTTCTGGCAATACATTATACAGCAGACGTAAGTCTAGCTTTTCATAGAGTTAACCATATTTGCCGTGATGTAAATTATGGTTGATTATTACGAACATTACACGCTAATGGTGCTTCATTTTTTTTTATTTGTATTTATCTACATGTAGGTCGAGGGGTATATTACGGCTCTTATTTATTTACTCCAACATGAATAATTGGAGTAATTTTATTATTTTTAGTTATAGGAACAGCTTTTATAGGTTATGTTTTACCTTGAGGACAAATATCTTTCTGAGGAGCAACTGTAATTACAAATTTATTATCTGCTGTTCCATATTTAGGAATTGATTTAGTACAATGAGTATGAGGAGGATTTGCTGTTGATAATGCAACTCTAACTCGATTTTTTACATTTCATTTTATTCTTCCTTTTATTGTTCTAGCAATAACTATAATTCATTTATTATTTTTACACCAAACAGGATCAAATAACCCTATCGGGTTAAATTCTAATATTGATAAAATCCCATTTCATCCTTATTTTACTTATAAGGATATTGTTGGTTTTATTATTATAACTTTTTTATTAATTTCTTTAGTTTTAATTAGACCTAACTTATTAGGAGATCCAGATAATTTTATCCCCGCTAACCCATTAGTTACGCCAGCTCATATTCAACCTGAATGATATTTTTTATTCGCATATGCTATTCTTCGATCTATCCCCAATAAATTAGGAGGTGTAATTGCTTTAGTTCTTTCAATTGCAATTTTAGCAATTCTCCCATTTTATAATTTAAGAAAATTCCGGGGAATTCAATTTTATCCAATTAATCAAATCTTATTTTGAATTATAGTAGTAACAGTAATTTTATTAACATGAATTGGGGCTCGACCTGTAGAAGAACCTTATGTTTTATTAGGACAAATTTTAACATTAATTTATTTTTTATATTATATAATTAATCCTTTAGTAAATAAATGATGAGATAATTTATTAAATTAGTTAATGAGCTTGAATAAGCTTATGTTTTGAAAACATAAGATAGAAATTTTATTTTCTATTAACTTTACTAAATTTAATTCATAACAACAAAGAAAATAATAAAATCTTAAAACCAATAAAAAATAATAAATAATTTAATGAAAAAGATAAAAAACATTTTCAAGCTAAATATATTAATTTATCATAACGAAAACGTGGTAAAGTCCCCCGGACCCAAATAAATACAAAAGAAATAAATATTAATTTTAAATAAAATAATAAATTAAAAACATCACACCCTAAAAAAATTACACAGAATAATATACTTATAAATAAAATTCTTGCATATTCAGCTAAAAAAATTAAAGCAAAACCCCCTCTTCTATATTCAACATTAAACCCTGAAACTAATTCTGATTCTCCTTCAGCAAAATCAAAAGGTGTTCGATTAGTTTCAGCCAACGAAATTGTTAATCAAACTAAAGCCATAGGAAATAAAATAAACAAAAATCAAATATAAACTTGATAACAATAAAAATTTAATAAATTATAACCTCCGATTAAAAATACAAAAGATAATAAAATTAAGGCTAATCTAACTTCATAAGAAATAGTTTGAGCAACAGCCCGCAAACCCCCTAACAAAGCATAATTAGAATTAGATGATCAACCCGCAACCATAACTGTATAAACTCCTAAACTTGTACAACATAAAAAAAATAAACCCCCTAAATTAAATGAATAAAGTTTAACAAAAAAAGGTATACATATTCATACAATTAAAGATAAAAATAATGATAAAATTGGAGAAATATAATATCTTAAATAATTTGATAATAGGGGATAAGTTTGTTCTTTTGTAAATAATTTAATTGCATCACAAAATGGTTGAGGAATTCCTATTAAACCAACTTTATTAGGACCTTTACGAATTTGAATATAACCTAAAACTTTACGTTCTAATAATGTTAAAAAAGCTACTCTTACTAATACACAAATAATTAATAATAAACTTCCAATTAATGACATAATTAATTCTATATAAAACAAGTGCTATTTGTAATATAAATTACATAAATAAATTCTAAATTTATTGCACTAATCTGCCAAAATAGCATTTAAATTAATAATATTCTTAGGTAAAATATAATTATTTTAATATTTGGTCCTTTCGTACTAAAATATTACAACTTTTTAAAGATAGAAACCAACCTGGCTTACGCCGGTTTGAACTCAGATCATGTAAGAATTTAAAAGTCGAACAGACTTAAAATTTGAACGGCTACACCCAAAATTATATCTTAATCCAACATCGAGGTCGCAATCTTTTTTATCGATATGAACTCTCCAAAAAAATTACGCTGTTATCCCTAAAGTAACTTAAATTTTTAATCATTATTAATGGATCAATTATTCATAAATTAATGGTTTTAAAAATTAAAAGTTTTTTAAATTTTAATATCACCCCAATAAAATATTTTAATTTATTATAATAAAAATAATCTTTATAATTAAAATAAACAAAATATAAAGATTTATAGGGTCTTCTCGTCTTTTAAATTTATTTTAGCTTTTTGACTAAAAAATAAAATTCTATAAAAAATTTAAATGAAACAGTTAATATTTCGTCCAACCATTCATTCCAGCCTTCAATTAAAAGACTAATGATTATGCTACCTTTGCACAGTTAGAATACTGCGGCCATTTAAAATTTTCAGTGGGCAGGTTAGACTTTAAATTTATTTCAAAAAGACATGTTTTTGTTAAACAGGCGAACATTATTTTTGCCGAATTCTTTACATAAACTTTTCATTTAAATTTATTTTTACAATATAAATATACTAATTTTATCATTATTAATTAATTTAAAAAATTACAAATAATATTTCAATAAATATTTAAAATTTAATAAATAATTTTATTTATAAAATAAATTATAACATAATTATAAACAATTGCTAATTCTAAGCATATATTTATTAAACTTATTTATTATTTTTAAAAATTTATTTTATAGCTTATCCCATAAAATATTAAAATTATAAATTATTTAATTAAACAAATTTTTAAATAAATTTACAATTTCTGAATTTAATTCATTTCTTGAAAAACTAGATACCTTTAAAAACGAATAACATTTCATTTCTAATATAATATGAAAAATAATTTTATTACATTAACTTTAATATTATATTAACTCTTTTAAAATCGAGAAAAATAAATTATAAATATTTTTTATTTAATAAACGCTGATACACAAGGTACAATAAATTAAATTTTCTTTTTAAATAAAAATTTTTCAAATTATTTCAATTTTCTTTTACAATACTATTAAACTATTATTAAATTTATTTTTTCTTTAAACAATACTAAAACTTTTTTCTGTATAATTATTTTTAATACTTAAAATTAAAATAAACAAAATTAATAAATAAAATCTAATCAATCTATATTGATTTGCACAAAAATCTTTTCAATGTAAATGAAATGCTTTACTTAATAAGCTTTAAATTGTCATTCTAGATACACTTTCCAGTACATCTACTATGTTACGACTTATCTTACCTTAATAATAAGAGCGACGGGCGATGTGTACATATTTTAGAGCTAAAATCAAATTATTAATCTTTATAATTTTACTACCAAATCCACCTTTAAAAATTTTTTCATAATTTTATCCGTATAAATATATTTATTGTAACCCATTATTACTTAAATATAAGCTACACCTTGATCTGATATAAATTTTAATTAAAATTATTGAATATTATTATTCTTATAAAATATTCTGATAACGACGGTATATAAACTGACAACAAATTTAAGAAAGGTCCATCGTGGATTATCGATTACAAAACAGGTTCCTCTGGATAGACTAAAATACCGCCAAATTTTTTAAGTTTCAAGAACATAACTATTACTACTTAAGTGTTTATAATTATATTTTAAATAATAGGGTATCTAATCCTAGTTTTTTGTTAAAATTTTCAAGTCTCAATTAATTAAATTATAAAAAATTTAAATTTAAAATTTCACTTAATAAATTTAATTATATTTAATATATCATATCAATTTAACTTTCACTAAAAAAATTTATTTGTATAATTAGTATAACCGCGATTGCTGGCACCAATTTAATCTATACTTTTTAATATTGCTATTTCTAAATTTCTTTAATTAATAAAATTAATTACTGCGATTATAATAAATATATTAATTTTTAAAATTAATACAAATTCATACAAAAAATTTACATATAAATCAAATTAATAACAAATTATTAAGCCAAAATAAAACTTTAAAATTTAATTTATAAATTTTTATAAAAATTTATTTTTTATTAAATTTTAATTTAAATATTTATTTTTTATAAAAAATTAAATATAAATAAAATTTAATATAAATAAATTTTATTAATCACTAAATCTGAAAATTTAATAAAATAACCCCTAATAATATAAAATTCTTTCAAATTTATAAAAGAAAACTTAATATTATCTTATTTTATTATTAAATCTTTTAATTTTAAAATTATTTGTTTTTTAAAAACTGGTATATTTTACGAAAATAATACATTTTAGTAAATTTTAAATATAATAATTTTTTCAATTTAATAATTTTAAAATATTACAAAATTAAATAATTTTATAAATTTACTTTTTTTAAAAAAAAGTAAAAATTATTTAAAATAATTTTAATTAATAAACATTAAATTTAATTATTTATTTATACAAATAACTAAATTTAATTAATCAATAAACATCAATAATGTAATTAAATTTATGACAATTTATACACTATTAAAAAATCACCTACATTTTTTTTTTTTTTTTATCAATTTATAAAAAATTAGGTAAAAAGAAAATGTATCAATTTTAAAATTAATAAATCAATAAATTAAATTTTTGTATACTAGTTCTAGATTAATAGATAATATATATATATATAAATATTTACTATATTATTATATAGATAACAATTTAAATAAAAAATTTCGCAATCCAAAAATATTTACAAATATGGTAAAAAAAAATCTATATATAAAAGATTTATCTATTATTCTTTTTATTTATATAAATTAATATTAGTTTTATAAATTATTATATATTTATATATTTATATATTGTTGAAGATTTATTATAATATATATATCTATATAGAAAAATTTAATTATTACTATAAAAAAATATACTGTTAAAAAATTATTACTAAAATACATTATTAAAATTAAATAAATACTATTTTTTAAAAACAAATATTTTTAAAAACTTACGAGTAAATACACAAAAAAAAAAAAAAAAAAATAGGTGGATAATGATTGATAATGAATTGCCTGATGAAAAGGATTACCTTGATAGGGTAAATTATGTGAAATTTCACATTCATTATTAAGTTTTTATGTTTTTTTTACAAAGACTTTATATTTAATAGAATTAAACTATTTCTAAAAGTATCAAAAACTTTTGTGCATCATACACCAAAATATAAAAAGATAAGCTAATTAAGCTACTGGGTTCATACCCCATTTATAAAGGTTTTAATCCTTTTCTTTTTAATTTTTAATAATTCTTCAAAAATTTTATTTATCACAATAATAATTATTGGAACATTAATTACGGTAACTTCTAATTCTTGGTTAGGAGCTTGGATAGGTTTAGAAATTAATCTATTATCTTTTATTCCCCTCATAAGAGATAATAATAATTTTAAATCTACAGAAGCTTCTTTAAAATATTTTTTAACCCAAGCTTTGGCATCAACTGTTTTATTATTTGCAGTTATTTTATTAATATTAAAAAATAATTTAAATAGTGAAATTAATGAATCTTTTATTTCTATAATTATATTATCAACTTTATTATTAAAAAGAGGAGCAGCACCCTTTCATTTTTGATTTCCTAATTTAATAGAGGGTTTAACTTGAATAAATGCATTAATATTAATAACGTGACAAAAAATTGCACCTCTAATATTAATTTCCTATTTAAATTTAAAAAATTTATTAATAATTAGAGTAATTTTATCTGTTATTGTAGGAGCAATTGGGGGATTAAATCAAACTTCTCTCCGTAAATTAATAGCTTTTTCATCAATCAATCATTTAGGATGAATATTAAGAGCCTTAACAATTAGAGAATCAATTTGAATAATTTATTTTTTATTTTATTCTTTTTTATCTTTTGTTTTAACTTTTATATTTAATATTTTTAAATTATTTCATTTAAATCAATTATTTTCGTGATTTTTACAAAATAAGATTTTAAAATTTACTCTTTTTATAAATTTTTTATCCCTAGGGGGTCTCCCCCATTTTT